ATTATTATTTTAAGGTGTTAAGTGTTTATCAGAAATCTCTATGCGTTTCCATTAGGGGAATTATACAGGAGCAGGCAAAATAAAAATTCATAGCTAATATTTTTAAAAAACTAGTACTTAATTCATTATTTGTAGCACAGATGTGATCTAGATATTCAGTTCTCTTTAAACCATCATTATCCTTAACCTTTTGCACAACACCAGAGCAGATTTATATCTTGCACGAAATAGTTTCCTGCTGTGTGTCTCAGCAGCACAGCCTGGCAAACCTCAGCCTGCACACATCTCCACTCTCCAGTTCCCAACAGAGGGATGTGTCTCTGTACCTTCACAAAGTCATACTGGCAGTTTTGAGATGGCTCTATATCCAGGTGGGTGAAATAGAGATGAATGCCATAACCAGGAGGAACTTCTACTTTCCAAGATTCCAGAGCATCATTGGGATATGCTTGAGGATAATTTGGAGACAGGATTTCTCCATACATGGACGTTGCCTCAGTACAAGAGAGGAGGAGGAAGGCAATGAAGCTCCTAAAAGAGGAAAGATCAATATTGGGCAGGGCTGCCAAACTCACACTCAGCCCCTGGACAAAATGTCTACTGGGGTCCTCTAGCTTTCTCTCCCTCCTTTCATCCCAGGTGCTAGGAAAGAAGGCCCCCTTTTCTTTTTTTCTCAACCCCAAAACAGAGAAAAAAGATTCCAACACCTGGTCCTTCCTTCTTCCCCATTCACCCCCTACTGGAATGCAAACAAACAGATCCCCTTCCCTTCCCTTCCCTTCCCTTCCCTTCCCTTCCCTTCCCTTCCCTTCCCTTCCCTTCCCTTCCCTTCCCTTCCCTTCCCTTCCCTTCCCTTCCCTTCCCTTCCCTTCCCTTCCCTTCCCTTCCCTTCCCTTCCCTTCCCTTCCCTTCCCTTCCCTTCCCTTCCCTTCCCTTCCCTTCCCTTCCCTTCCCTTCCCTTCCCTTCCCTTCCCTTCCCTTCCCTTCCCTTCCCTTCCCTTCCCTTCCCTTCCCTTCCCTTCCCTTCCCTTCCCTTCCCTTCCCTTCCCTTCCCTTCCCTTCCCTTCCCTTCCCTTCCCTTCCCTTCCCTTTCCTTTCCCAAAACATTTTACAGAGCTCACTGGGTAGAATAATGCTTTACTGTGCAGTATGCCTGGCAAGTAGTGTTTAAAAAGAGAAAAAGAAAAAGAAAATCAAGAAGAGATCTCTTTGGCCCTTTGTCTCCACTGCCAAGCAAGTTGGTCTTCTACCCCAGTGTTTCTCAACCTTGGCAACTTTAAAATGTGTGGACTTCAACTCCCAGAATTCTGGGAGTTGAAGTCCACACATCTTAAAATTGCTGAGGTTGAGAAACACTATTCTACCCAACACCTGCAAGGTGGTGACAGTGTCATTTTTAAAAAGGTTCTACAGAAAAGACATTGGAAATGAAACATGAAGCAGAATCAAGCTGAATTGGTCTCTGTCAGCATCTTTGAATCCATATGGTGAAGGGTGTGTGTGTGCCTGGTGGCATTCTGGACCAAGAAAGGTAGCAGTTGTGACTGAAGCTTCACTCTTACAGTGCATCACAACCACATCTCTGGACACCACCTCACCTCTGTTAAAAGCACAGGCACTTAGAAGCAACTGCCATTATGATGTATTTGGGAGATGCTCCAGCTTGGACATCCTGGATTTTAGCCAGATGTCCAGAGTTAACAACACCCCATTGTTTAAGCCCTAGCTAGTTCAGCTCAAATGCGTGTGTGGTAAGACACACACATGTGCAATCTGAAGGCATAGGCAGCCTCCCCAAAAACCATAGTGGAGAAGGCAAGAGAGGAACGTTCTTGCACTCTCCTTCTCAGTGCAAAAACCAAAGAACCAACCATGAGGAGGAATCTGCTGCTTGCCTTGAGTACAGAACAGGAATGACCCTACAAATGGCTCACCCACAGAAAGCCACAGGAGGCTGCACACATCCCATACACTAAAGGCAGAAACAGTCGCATTCACTTGGTTTGGAGCCCCCAAAGGATAATAGAGTCTTTCTGGACCTTTCTATTGACCCAGATGAGATAGAGATGCCAAGAAAGTCACACTATTAAGTGAGGGGGTGCAGCAGAGATCCTACACGCGAGATTAGAGTAGCTGGGAGCCCCGGCAAGATGCAGTTACCCAAGTGGGTTGTGGGCCATCTCCTGCCACCCCCACCTTGTTCTGGAAGTAGTCTTCCAGCAAAGGAAGTGTCTACCGAGAGTCCCAAGTTATTTGTTCAACATTTTTCTGTGCATTCAGTAACTTACCATATCTGTAAAAGCACCATCCTTATTCCTTCAGCAAAGCCACGGGGATCATTAGATTTAGGAGAACACAATGCCCTGCTCAATGGGATGTTTCCTCCCCTGAAGTGTGCCTGGTGGGTGAACAGAATAATCAAGTGAAAATACAGCTCTCAAAGAATGGAACTAGCGTGAATTCATTGTCCACTTATTATTTCTTACCTTCATCTAGCAAGTAAAACCATGTCCTATAGGCAGTTGTATTTGATAAGGTGCACGCGTGTGCACAATGTAACAGGAGACTCCCCAGAGCCATAGATGCCGTAAAACTACTTCTGACTTTCTAAAAAAGTATCACCCCACCTCCAAACAGCAGGATCTCTTGGAAAAAGCATCACCTGCCTTCCTAATGTAAACCTAGAGCAGATCTTTGCCAGGGAACTTAATCCAAATCCAAATACTCAGGATACCTATTTCTAAAAAAGAACTTGAGAGCAATTTACCTTTAACTCCTTGTCTCTGCAGCTGTATCTCTCTCTCTGTTTGCCTCTTCTGCTTCTCTACCAGCACAGAGCAACATTTCTAATCAGGAACAATGGAACTTCGTTGCAGAATTCTGTCTCCCTCTGCTGTTCAAAAGTTGTATCCTTCATTTCTCACAGCCCTAAATAATTCACCCCAAAGAAAAACTTGTTCAAATAATTCAGTTGCACAAGTCCTATTTTTGCTAGCTCTAGATCAACGAAAGAGGGAAGGCTAATTTTTTTTTCCAAGAAAATCAGGTGACTTCTGTGAAGAGACTGGGTGAGGAAATTCCAAGTTCCCGTTTGAAAACAAAGTTACAGTATTACGCAATTACAGAGCCTGATTGCTTTTGCAAGCTTAAATCACTGACTTTGTCATTTATTGACTTTTGGCTTAAACTTATTAAACACACACACACACACACAATTGTATTTCAGCTTCAAAGTAAGTAAATAAAACAAGCATCCAAGATACAAAAGCAATAAAGAAAGAATACTACAGAAAGAAGGTCAATTAATGCAAATATTTGCAGCAGATTTATCCAAGTGTTATGGAGAATGCATACCAAATGCAATCCACTGAATGAATTCTTACTAGCATGGGTACAATTCACTCTGCAGGGGGAGACTGCAAGATTAATAGTGTAAATCAGATCTTGGCAACCTTTTCAATTCTGAGGTCCACAGGCAGTGCTAAATCAAGGGTTGAGGGTTTCCTAGATCCTTCCCAGATTTCACAATGGGGAACAATCCTTCCCATGGAGACTATGTGGGGTTCCCAGCAGACTGCCAAACAATGATGAGCTGCTGGAGGACAGCATGCTCTGTGCTGCAAACACCATCTTTCTCTAATGTGACGCCTGCTGGCTGCTGGGAGAGGGTGCTACTGTATTGAGGAAGGCATCGGCCAATGACCTGCCCGCATGCCAATCAACAGATTGATTATTGACTGGGGACTGTGAGTATGGAGGGGCAAATATCTGAACATCCTTGAGTTCATCCTTGAACTGAACATCCTTGAGCTGATGCACTCCCTACACATCCGTGAGTTGGCCCAAAACTGTTGAACCATGATATTTGCTGTCCTCATTTCTGATCTCTATCCTGCCTGTCTTGCCTCTGTTTCAAATCACCATAGCCCCATGGCTTCCTTCCAGGGCAATGGGTGACAAAGACCAATAGATTTTGCCCACCTTGAGGCAGTGTCAGAATAAGGGGGGAAACACTACTTTGCCCCTGGTTACAGTAGATCTACCTAAGTAACAATGGTGCTTTCTGAAATGCTTATCAGGACATACTTGGGCTCCTTATGTATATGGGCTTACATCAAATCAATCTTTATTATGATCACAGACCAGCATACTGTTTAGACTTATATTTAAAAATCAAGACTGGGAAAGACAGGTGGGTTCTGCCAGCTGTGTGTTGATGGTTCTGTCATCAATGAATGCATCACAGGGTTTCTGCTGCTTTTGCCTTCATGTGACTATAATTTTTATTGTTTCATGATGCTGTCATTTTCTTGCAGTGCTGAGGATGGAGTTTATTCATTATCCATAACTCCTTCCTACTCCCCCCTCCTGACCTGTGACCTGGCAGATGGGCTACTTTGGAACATGGGTTTAGCACTCTTTCAGAAGAGTGCTAGATCTGTGTTCAGAAATAGCCCAACTGAGAAAAAAACCACCCTCTGTGCCTGCAGCCTTTTACTCAGACAAACAGGGTGCTAAACCAGCCATTCTCAGCACCCACCTAAGCTCATTCATCTCTGTCCCACCACATGTTAAGGAGAGGGAGAGGTGGATTTTCCAGCTGGGAGGTGACACTGAGTGGGAGGGGAAATAAAGCTAGAGGAATGCACTTTCCTCTACTTGTCCTGCATTACAATAGTAAGGCAACACCACTTGTCAGCCTGATCACTGAGACAAAAGAGGGATCGGTAATGAAGGCAGTACCATTTACAGTATGTCAGGTTACTTTCTGTTGGTTCTGGACTGGAGCGCAGCACTTTGGCTGTGCCCTCACTCATGGAGTGGAGGCAAAATGTCAGCAACATTTTGAGGACCCAACAGAAAAAAGATATCGCCAGGGGCTTTTGTGCCATGGTTAAATCCTGTGGGGAAAGGTTCTTAGATCAAAATGTAGCAAGAGATCATTCAGTGAACTCAGGCTCACAGCCTCTAAAATTCTTGCTTCCTTAGAGTAATCTGTGCTCTCCTTTAAAGTGGGAAACACCTCTGGATTAGGGCTGTGCTGCCTTTGTGAAACATCTGAAGATTACTCTTGTGAGTGACTCATCACATTCACACATCAGTTCATGCCCCAGCACACACCTGCACAGATTCTCTGTCTCTCTCACATGCATCTCCACTTTCAGGGTTGTGGGGAGGAAAATGAAGGTACAACCTTGCTCCCTCCTCTATTATCCAATCCAAAGAAAATTATCATTTCTCACTGCTAAGGAACAACAAAGGAACAACAATCTTGACAAAGTCTCTTCCACCCACCCAGCTCAGTTTATATTCTGCATGCTTTGCAGAGCTTGCACTGCTATTCCAGTCCCGCTTTCCATAGCTTGAGAAAAGGCAGAAACGTAACAGGGGAAGCATACAATCACTCAGCAAAACGGGAGTGAATAAGAGTGGCAATGCCATGCAGTGCCCCAAAGCTTTGTCCAAGGGAGGCGTTTACTGCATGATCGCTTGGCCTTTATTTGTGAACTTTCAAGAGAGGCCCCAGACACCATCCTCCACTCTTAATCCTCTGTTCAAAAAGTGTGTTCAAAAGGTGTATTCTTCGTGGATTTTTGAAATGCTTTATATTTAGAAATGAGGAAATGGAACAGTATGTTTCTCTAAACAGTATGTATATAGTATCTACACACACACACAGCCTATGGGATGGTTATGTTGATGGTTGTGATGATTTTTACCTTGGCTGCTGATTTGTATTTATTTACTGTGATGTTATTATTATTTTATGTTTTTAATTGCTATTTGATGTTCAAGATTGAAATGGGCAACCATACACACTCTCTCTCTCTATCTAATATACATGTTATCATTGTTCCATCAGGTTTATCTTTGTTAAATTTTACTAATACAGTAAATAATAAGTCATAATCATGTTCTTCTAGTCTTTCCCAACACTGTTTTTTTTCCTACTTGTTTCCCAGATAAAATCAATTAAGAAAGAACAAGATGCACAATGTCTCTTGCTGGTAAGTCTTCCATCTGGAACCCCTCCAGAATGAAGACTCACCCAACCCAGCTGGTTTTCTTCAATCAAATTCTAAAATATCCTTCCCACCTTATATATGGAAACAGCAGAGGGCAGCAGAGCACAGCTTAAAGAAATCCAGGCCCGCACTCTCTCTCTCTTCCCTGTCAATGGCCATGGACTAACCCTCCCTCCCTAAAGCAAACAATCTCCAGATTGTATTGAAATCTTGTTATATCTTCCAAGCTCAAAGAAGAGGTAAGAACAGAAAGATTAAAACATGTCTACAAATATACATATGTTGATCAAATGGAAAAGGTTAAAATGTAAAGTTGGGTAACTGTTTGCCAATGATTTACAAAAAGAGGATTTTTTAAATAAACGGATAATGGTTAAGGTTAACCACAATGATGGCTGATATTGTGCCAGGCTAGCCTCTATTCCAAGAAACCTTTCATTCTGAGCATTGCCGTGCAAGTAACATGTTAAGGAATCCAGTGGAATATCTGCTACATTCATAATGCCATCAGGAGTCACACATCATTTGTTTATACCCCAAACATGCCCTTCCTCTGTAAACATCTCTCCCCTGAGGAAGGATTTGTTGGGGAGATTAGTTTTGGATTATTTGAGCCTTAGGTCCTCCATGCCTAAAACAAAAAACGTCTGTGGTAAATTGGAAGCAATCCATGGAGGAATGAGCTAGGAATTCAGACACTTCAGGGAACATATTGAGACATTTCTTGGAGGGTCTGAAGCTGCTAGGACTTTCAGAAGAAAGTATCATTATTCTGAATGTCAACAAAACTGAATCCCACAATCGAGTCTAAAAAGCCAGCATGGTACAGTGGTTAAGGTGCCAGACTAAAAACTAGGAGACTGTGAGTTCTAGTCCTACCTAAGCTTTTCCGGCTAAACTTGCTGGCAAAATTATGCAAGAGTTATATAGGTGTAACTCAGTATTAGCTCAGACTTGTGAGATGTTGGGTCTAGATGAAAAATTACTGTCATTAACTTGGAATCAAGGAGAAAAGCTATCTGTGCTTGAGCAATTAACATTAATTATTTCTGTGTTGGGGGGGTTACTCTTCTCAAGGCAGCTGACAGCACTGCTTAACAAACCATAAAAAGATTTTCCCATGCCTTTGCTGCTGTATACACCCTAACCCAACACAATGACCACCCACAAACTAATGGTAAAGCATTGCAAACAGAGAAAACAGAGGTTCCAGGTCACCTTTGGAAATTCAGTTTTTTAATGTCTCTCCCTCCTTCAGGAGCTCCAGTTGTAATGTCAACCACCTCCTCTGCACCTCAGGCTTTGCTCATCCCAGGGGGCTCCAAATTGAGCTGCCCGTACTTCAGTTTCACTCTCTATTCCTTTGGCACAACTGAAATTCAGGTAACCATGAGGTTGTCTCAGTATGGTTTAGAACAATGTTTTTCAACCTTGGCAACTTTAAGATGTGCGGACTTCAACTCCCAGAATTGCTGGCTGGGGAATGGTTCCCTGTCTAGCCTCTGCAAGAGGAAGAAGAGGAGGGCTGTAAACAGAGCAAGCACAGATCTGAAAGGAAGATGCATCTAACAAGAATGCCATCTATCCCTCTTTAGAGGAGACATTCCCCCCCGCAACTCTGTGTCATGGTAAGCTGAACTGGGCAACAAGTTCCTTAAGAAAATCTGTATCCATCTGCTTCTCTGTATTGTTTTTGCATCTCCAAGTTAATTTCATGAGGGACGTAAGAGCTGGATATAACATCTGTTCCTTCTAATCATAGGAATGGGAAAGAAGCTAAGCTGTGGTATTTAAGTTATACTGAAAATTTATTCGGCTGACACTCTATGCTTTAAGACTAGAAAGCAAATTTCAACTCAACTGCTCAAATGTGCATGCAACCATAAAGCTTAAAACAAAACAAGCTGGAGCAGCAGTGATGTGGTACCATACAGCTTTTTAAAAATC